GGCGGTGCGCAGAGAGCAAGTGGGCGGTGCGCAGAGAGCAAGTAGGCGGTGCGCAGAGAGCAAGTAGGCGGTGCACAGAGAGCAAGTGGGCGGGACGCAGAGAGCAGGTGGGCGGGGAGATAATTCGATATGGGCGGGGAGATGATGCTATACGGGCGGAGCTATGAGACTACGTGGGCGGGGCGATGATACTATGTGGGCGGGGCGTGCAGAGCAGGTGGGCGGGGCGCGCGCGGGCGGGAAAACGCGGCTTCGCGGGCGCAGCGCGAGGCCCGGGATCCTGTGGAGGCGGAGTAGCCGTACTTCTCCACCAGAAACCCCTAGTGCAATGGAGCGGACGGCCGCGACCGTCTGCGAGGTGACTCCTTCCAGGCAGAGAAAGCAGAGGAGGGTTTCTGAGGAGAGGGGCTTCGTGAGGGGTCCGGGAAGTTTGGGGGCGCGGGGTGAAGGACGCGTAGGGATTGAGGTGGCGTTGCTAGAAGCAGGCCGGGTGCGTGGAAGAACTTGGGGAGGGAGAGCTCGGCGGGGAGTGTCCGACCCTTAACCTCTCACCCCGCAGTAGGTGACCCCCGCCCCCAGGTTACAGCTGAGAAAACTGCGGTTCACGTGTCACTAGACATTTAGGGTTGGAGCCGAGAGGCCCGCAGAGGAGGCGGGACTGACCAGAACGCCCGCCTTCCTGCTGGGAGAGGACACAGGAAGGGGAAGGAAATGGGTGACCCAGTGGGGCCAGACCTGGACTTGACCAGAGGGAAGGTGGTTTTCAGTCATTCAAGTCACCCGAGGGCGGCACTGGGGGGTCTTGGGGTGGGTTCGAGGCCCCTGTGACCCCCACCTCACCTCTGAGCCCCTGGCCCTGGCGCGCGCCCCTGGCCCTGGCGCGCGCCCCTGGCCCCGGCGCGCGCCCGTCACACTCTCAGGTTGTGGTTGGCGCTATGGACTTGATGCTGACTCACAGTGACGCCAGGGAGGGTTTTCTTGACCATCATTGGAGGGACACACTGCCAGGTCTTCCTCCCAGGGACACTCTGGGTGCATTTAAACCACCCACCTGGTGAAACGAACCTTTTGCTTTGCAGATGAGTTCTTTTCACCCAAGTTCTTTTCAAAGCCTTTGCTCAGTTGAGTTCTTAGCGACTGGCCAATAAGGAACACGGCACACATAGAATAGATCTTCAGACTTTCTGATCTTCCCACCTTCTTATCAGAGAAAGCTGGAGGACTATGTATTTCCAGATGACAGATTTTATATAGAATCTAGGGCTTCTGACTCAAAGGCCAGTGCTCTCTCATTGGTAAACTATGGGAAAAGCTGAACAGAGGGAACACAGGAAATCTGAGGGTATATAAAGGAACGTGTAGAAATACTGGTAGTAGAAAGCAGGGAAATTTTAAAGCTCTAGCACAAACCATGATCCTAATTCCCATCATGATCTTTTCATTCACTTGCTATACTGCTGAGATCTGGATGATGAAAAAGGATGACAGAAGAAGAATTGATGCCTTTGAGCTGTGGTGTTGGAGAACAGTACTGAATAGCCCATGCACTGCCAAAAACAAAAAACAAAAAAACCCATCCAACACAAACCAAACAGAAAAACCCAAAAACCCCAAAACCAAAAACCCCAAACAGATATGCCCTAAAGAGAGTGCAGCCAGCATGCTCCTTGGAGGCAAAGATTATAAAACTTCATCTCACATATTTTGGACGTATGGCCGTTGTTAGGTGCTGTCAAGTCGAGTGTGACCCATAGTGGCCCTATGAACAACAGATGTGAGCTCTGTCCTGTCATGTGCCATCCTCTCACTTCCTGACACACTAGAGCCTGTTGCAGCGTCAGTCCACCTGGACGAGGGTCTTCTGTCCTTCGCTGACCCTCAGCCTTTCTCCACATCATGTTTCTTTCCAAGAAATAGCCCCGCCCAGCGACATGCCCAACGCTTGTGAAGCATGTTGCTAGGAGAGGCTATTTATTCCTTGGAGAAGGACATCAATCTTGGCAAGATAGGAGGATGGTCAAGGAGAGGAAGACCCTCAGCCAGGTGGATTGACACAAGGACTGCTGCAATATGTTTGAATGACAGAGGTTGTGAGCTTGCCACAGGATAGGACAGGGGTTTTGACCTCTTGTTCATAGGGTTGCTATGAGTAATACTCAGCTTGATGGCACCTGCCAATACTACAATTCACTATATCTTTGGTGCTGTGTTAAGCATTTTGAATATATTTTCAACGGGAAGTATATATGGTTAAGTTTCTATTTTTACAGATGAAGAAACTGAGGTACAAGGAGGCTAAGTAATTTGCCTATCATCACAAGCTAGAATTTGGCATGGTGGGATTCAGACCTAGATAAATGCTTCTAGAGCCACCATTCTTAACTGATATTTTGTCTCTCAAATGTATTTAATATAATGAAAGGTAGAAATGTATATAACCTGATGTCAAACTTATTTATAATTTTTTACTTTATTATTTTTGGTGTGTGTATCATCAAATCAGATCTGACTGGTACAGGAAGAAATTGTTCTTCCTTCTCCAGCAGAGCATCTGGTGGATTTGAACTGCTCACCTCTGGGATTACAGTGCAGTTTCTGCCCACACTTATTTATAGTCTTCACTTTTATGGTCTTTATTTATAGTCTTGACTTTTATCTCTGGTAAGGGGAAGTAAGAGAAAGAAACAGGAAAAACAAACTCCCACTTAATTTTTTCCCTAATTATTATTTCCAGGTTAATTTATACTTTGAATAAAAGCAAATTTATTGTTTCCATTTCCTGTCTTATTGAACATTTTGTTGAATCCCACAGTCTCCTTTCTTATGTCACTTCCCTAGCTATTTCTTCTGTTTAAACAGCGTGCTCTACTGTGAATAAATGTAAATCTGACATTTTGCAAGCAAGAATTCTGTATTTTTGGGAAATAAGAGTTATTAATTTAACTGCAGCACAGCTTTATTATTATCTTGATTGCTAAAGAATTTTGTGTTTTCTTGAATTGTGCCTTTTTCAGATTTTGAAGTATTTAATCATCTACTTGAAATGTGAGACAGCAGGAGTATCAAAGGGAACATTGCTGGAAGGACAGCTAGTGATTTCCATAGAAGCATTCAACTCTAAGCACCAGGCAAATGTTCTTCATTGTGTAATAACGAGTAAGTGGAGGAAGAAAAATATTCATTTTCTTTGTTTTGTCATGATTTATGTTCTAGTTTATTTAAAATTTTAATTAGTCATAATCTTATATCATTCTGGAGGTGTTCCATAGTTTGAAAACTTAAGTGATTATGTAATAAGTATCTGGTGATAGATTTACAAATGAGTCACACAGGAAAGGTGAGTAGAATGATTGAGATTGTTAACAGCTTTAGTTTGCTTGGCTCCACAATCAACACTCTTGGCACCAGCAGCCAGGAAATTAAAAGACATATTGTGATGGGAAAGTCTGTTGTTTGAGAACTCTCCAAAGTACTGAAGAACAGTGATGTCACTCTGGAGACTAAGGTGCGCCTGATACAGACCATGGTCTTTGCTATCACTTGCTATGCGTTACAGAGCTGGACAATGACTAGGGATGATAGAAGGAGAATTGATGCCTTTGAGCTGTGGTGCTGGAGAAGAGTATTGAATGTACCATGGACTGCCAAGAAAACAAACAGATTCATCCGAGAGAGGCTTAAACCAGGCTGCTTCTTGGAGGCAAGGATTCTGAAGCTTCATCTGACATATTTTGGCCATGTTGCAAGAAGGGGCCAGTCATTGGAGAGGGATGTCATGCTTGGGAAGTTGTAGGGACAGTGCAGGAGAGGAAGGCCCTCTATGAGGTGGATTGATTCAGTGACTGGGGTAATAGGGGTAGGTGTGTTGGAGAAAGTGAGATTGGCACAGGAAAGAGCAGGGTTTGGGCTGTTGTACATAGGGTCGCTATGAGTCACAGGTGACTCGATGGCACATAACAACAACAACAACGTTAAAATGGTTCTAACACAATCTTGCTCTTGGTTTTAACCATTCCCTCTTTCACAGAGAAAGTATATTACATTGAGTTGTTTCTTCTACTCTTTCCTCGCTTACCCAGTTTTTGGTGATGGCAAAAGAATCAAGAAAAAACAGATGAAAGGAAATGAAAATGATGAATGGCATATATTTGGTTATCATAGTTTGAAGATATCCTCTCTCATTTAGTTCTTAACAATGTGTTCTTTCACCGTTTTTGCCTATACTTCTGAGGAGAAGCTGATGCATTGAGTGACCCTGAAAGACCTAATTTTCTCGAATTAGTGATAAATCTTTTGTTTGGGAGGTGTGTGTATGTGGTTTTATTGAAAGATACTTTGGAATGAAGTTATTCTATCTGTTTTAGAGAAGTCACCATGAGTTTCAGTTGTAACTAGATAGTATATCAAGCTCTATAAATCACTTAGATACCGGAACTTGATGTGTCTAATGTTGTTAGGAGCTGTCAAGTTGAATAGCACTGATGGCAACACTGTGAACAAGAGACCTGACCCTGCCCTACCCTGTTCCATCCCATCATCTCTGATTCCCTTGAGCCCATTGCTTCAAACACTGTACCATTCCATCTCATTGGGAGTATTTGTCTCTTTCCCTCACCTTCTGTCTTTTTAAGGGGTGAGCTGCATGTTACTGTTTATTTTATAGTTTGCATATGCATTTCATTTCAGCATATTCTTTTTGCTTTATTATTTTGTTTCTGGAAAAATATATGTTTAGGAAATGTATTTGTGCTTATGTACATATCTGGATACATTTAATTTTAAGCTTTATCAAAGTTCTACATAAACATAGTTTTAAAAGTAATGCATAAGTACTGCATAGTGTAGATATTTTTAAGTTTATTCTCTTTGGAGTTCATTGAGTTTGTATGTGTAGATTCTTGTGTTTTCAGATTCAGAAAGTTTTTGGTGATTATTTCTCTGTTCTTTTGACTTTATTTCTCATCACCTTCTGAAGCCGTAATAACATATAACTTAAGGATTTGATAGTCTTCAGTCTCTTAGCTCTGATCCATGTTCTTCCTTTTCGTTTTCCTCCTGAATGTAAGAGATAGGATAGTTTTAATTATTCTTTTTCTTAAGTTTCGAGCGCTGGTGGCCTAGTTGTATTGCCCAAACCAAAGTCGTGAAGTTCGAATCCACCAGCATTTCTGTGGGAGAAAGATCACAGTCTCCTACTATGCGATTTATAGTGTCTGAAAACCCATAGTGAACATCCATTGATCCTCCTTGGGTTTCTGAGGTGGTAAATTAGGAGAATGTCCGTTTTTCTCTCTCAAAGCTGCTGATGGATTTCAGCTGTCACAGAGACGTAGCCTTTGGGTTAACAAGATAGCTCGCTATGGCCTGTGCTATCAGAGCTTCCTGTTGAAGACTGTAATAATCAGTGTATCTAGTAATTTCTAACTCTATTTACAGGGAGCTCTGGTGGCCTACTGTGTAAGGAATTGAGCTCCCAACTTAAAGACAGGTGCTTCAAATTCACCATCTGCACTCTGGAAGAAAGATGGGTAGTTTCCTTGAATATGATTTACAGCCTCTGAAAACCTGTTGGAGGATCACCTGAGTTTGTTCTGACTTGACAGCACATAACAATAACTATTTGCAAAGTTTGCCTTTCTGAATATATATGGACATTGAATTCTTTGTTTCTTATTTTCAGCTATTGTTTTAACAGATTATTTCCTTGAATGTCAATGGGAAAAATAATAATAAAAACCTCTCTCAGTCTTTGAAAATGAACTCTGTGCTGTGGCCCTCTTTCAACACTTAGCAGGTTTCACTGATCCTAGGGATTGGTCCAAGATAAGAATGGAGGGTCTTCTCAGTATGCATTTTGCCCTATGCAAATATGTGGCTTTCAGTTACTCTGTACGCACAATACTCCTGAAAGTCATAATTTCTAAAAAAAACTCTTTCCTCAGCTGCTGCTTCTTCTCATCACCTGTTATATGCCTTAATTGCACTCTAGCCTCAAGTGGCTACAGACAATTACAGCCTTTGACTGCTGTCTGCTGCCCTTCAACCCTCTGTAAGGGTGGAGGTAGGCCAAAGTGTATTCAAGAGAAGTCTTTCAGTCCCTCAGACAATTCCCAGAGAGGTTAGAGTGAGGATACACAGTCATCTGCAAATAAAGTGAGGCTTTCTTCCTGTAGAGCTAGTGGCCTAGTTCCTTTGCTGGAGGTGTGGGTGGCTCCTGAAGCTTTAAGATGACCCATTGTGCCTGGAAGGAGACCAGAGCAGGTGAGTAAACAAAAGCTTTCCTACTGATTAGGACCTGTTAGATGTTGGTGACTTGGTTTCAATTCATAGTGATCCTGTGTGTAACATAACAAAATGCTGTCTCTTCCTGAGCTATCCTCACGGTCTCTGATGTGCTTGGGCCCATGTGCTTGGGCCCATGGTTGCAGCCACAGTGTTAATCCATCTCATTGAAGGTCTTTTTTTTTCCACTCACTGTGACTGTGGTGTTCGCTTAAAGTTGGCTTTTTTAGCCAACTCTTGTCTCCAACTACCTTAACTGCAGACACATGGTCTTGCAAATTATCAAAAGCTGTGGGACTAGGCCAAGAAAGAAAGCGCTTCCTACATGAAGCAGCAAGACTAGAGCCAGACCATGGTAAGAGCGAGAGCCTGGTGATGGTGGTGAGAGACTGGCAAGGTGTAACCAGAGGAGCTCTGAGATAAAGGCCACAGTTAAAGGCGTTGCTGTTCTTGCCAAATGATTAAAGGAGAAGCTGCCTTATCATTTCTCTGAGGCAAACCTTGCTAGATGATTTGGATTTGAGTGCTGAACTGAAACTAGGACTTTTACTAATTAAGAAATTATTTTGCTGTTAATCTGACTTGGAACTGCTGGGCTACCCTGGACTTGTATTGTGAGATATTCTTTGCCTCACCTACCTCCCCGACCTATTTCCCTTAAAAACCCCATGCTTGGTACGACAACTGTGAGTAAGGTCTGTGAGTCAGCAGTGAATATTGAACCCAATGATAGGCGGAAATAAGTGCAGGAGAATGAGGGGTGGCATGTCTGACAAAACAGCTATCTATTTGCTGCTATGGATACTACCTGTTGGGACAATTCTCCTTTATGAAGTGGTTAGAAGTCAAACTAGGCTATCCCCGCATTGAATCAGCGCCTCCTTTTGCACCGACCTTCTACTTTTCCAAGTAGAAGTGCTTGGAAAAGTGCTTTCCAAGTGCCTCTCCAGAGACTTGTCCATCCTAATAACATGTTCAGAGTAAATGAAATGAAATCTTGCTATCCTCACCCACAAGGAGCATTCTGATATACTTCATGCAAAATAGATTTATCTTTTGATTTTTCTCCCTCATTGCCGTCCTATTGAAATTGATTTAGCTTATCCTCCATTGACATTCTGAGGCTGTAAATTATATGGGAAGGGATTGTCTATCTTTTTTCTGCCCAGCAGTTATTGGATTCAAACTTCCAGAGAGATGGCATTGGGATTAACAGTGCAATTTCTACAGACTATGCTAAAAGAACAAATAGGGCTGTCCTAGAGTGGGTGAAACTGGGTTGCTCCTTGGAGGCAAGGATTTTGAAGTTCCATCTCACATAATTTGGGCATGTTTAAATGACTGACCAGTCCTTGGAGAGGGACATCATGCTTGGAAGGACAGTGCATGGTGGAGGGACAGTGCAAGCAAGGAAGAGTCTGGATGGGATGGATTGATTCGATCTTGCTTATCGAACTTCCATACACATATGAAGCTGTTGACAATACCATGGCTTGGATTAGGCACACTTTAGTATTTAAACTAACATCATTGCTCTTTGGTGCTTCAACTAGATCAAGTGTAGCAGATTTTCCTGATGCAATATGTAGTTAAATTTCTTGACTGCTCTTTCCACAGATATTGATTGAAGAGCCAAGTGAAATGAAGTCATTTGACAACTTCAGTCTTGTCCTCATTTGTGATGCTGTTGCCTGTTGGCATAGTTGTGAGGATTGTTGATTTCTTGATGTTGAGGTGTAATCCGTACCGAAGTCTATCTAGTTTTGATCTCCATTAGTAATTGCTTCAAGTTGTCTTTGTTTTCAACAAGCAGTGTTGTGTTACCTGCATATTGCAGATGTTAAACTATCTTTCCACAATCAGGATTCCTGATG